TATACATATATATATATATATATACACATATATAGTTCTATCTTACTTAAGACATAAAGATAATAAAACTTCTGAGCTTCAAAACGATGCTTCTTTCATAAGATTATTTTACACCTAAAAACATGTTTCTACTTAATTTTGTTCTAATTATTGTTCAAGTATTTGTCACAAATCAACATTTTCATTATCTTACCTTACCAATTTAGAGTTGATCAACTCCACGAGTGTCATGATTAATAAAAAAGATCGAAACATGTTACTCGAATTTTGTAGCAATTAGAATTACAAATCAAATATCAAGAACGTTTTAGACGCGTTGCAACTCGAATCTTCTTCAAATCAGTTCACAGTCGACATAACAGAATACAAAAGCAAAGTCAATGGTTAGCGTTCCAAATGCTGTTTTCTAGATTATGTACGTGATTGTGTTTAGGAGTGGGTAAAAAGAAGGACAATTGAACAAGCAGAATGTTTTGAAAACGATCTTTGTTCTTTTCAGTAATTAATCCCTAATGAACTTTTGAAAAATCGTGTTTCTCATTTAAGGATATTTCTCACTTTTGCGTTATCGCGACTCGATGTATTTAAATAAATCTGAAAGAGATGTTAATTTTAAAATGTACTGTTTGTCTTGATAGGTTTACAAATGATGAATGTAGTAACAAATAACTGAAATAATGAAAGCGATTGAGAGACAGCGGTTATCTAAAAACAATATATAATTTGTTTTATGTAATTACATAATTAAATATTTTGGTTCATTTTTTAGCCATCATCAGCATTTAATTTTATACATTCATCGATATTTTATATCCTCTTTTTTATAAGATAAATTAAACTTTATTATCTATGTAAAATGTGTTCTTTAACAAAGCGACAACTGAAAAAATAGAGTCCTTTAAACATAAACCAATTAAATCGCTGGTTGAAAGAAAAATTGTAGAATATATATTACTCTACAATATGATATTAGAAATTAAATTTTGAAAAATAAAACGGTGTTGTTAGGTATAAAATATAACTAAAAAACATACAGCTAACTAAACCATTGTACATCAACGTCTACTACTAATAATGTCCAAATAATACCCAAGTTATGACCAAGTAATACCGAATTTTTGATGCCCATTAATGCCATAGTAATGCTTCATATTAATCAATAATACCTAATACCGCTTATTATAATACACAATTCTCTTAAAAAATGTCCAGTAATGCCCCAAATCTATACATCGCAATGTCCATAGTAATTTAATCCTTGGTATAAACTAAAGAATTGAGTCTGTAAATTCAAATTCACTCAAGAGTCTCGCATAATACATTAAAATATATAACTTAAAATTTAAATTATGTAGTAAAGTAAATAGTACAGTACAAAAATAAAAAAAGAAAATCCGAAAAAAATAAATTACCTGAAAATAACAGTTAATAATCGATAATTAGCAAAAAAAGAAACAATCAGAAAGCAATTATGATCTGTACACTTCAAAGTGTACACGTAAAAATAAAAATAGAAAAATTGAAACCATCAAATCGATATGAAAGTGACGCAGATAAAAAATAGATACTATAGTACTTCAGTTTGTATTTGAATGATATTGCAAATGTGATTGATTGGAAAAGTATCGTATAATCCACCAATATAAGTGGATATTTTAAGCAAGATATATTCGATAATATTATTTACAACCGAAGACAATTTATTGCTTTAGATTTTAGATAAGTTTAGACAAATGCAGAGTTCGTATTGAAAAATACATACAACTTTTACATTTAATAACCAAAAAAGGGAAATTAACAGAATTATATTTATAATATCGTGTGACAATACGATATTATGCTGGAAGAAAGGGTTGTATTAAACGTTGATAGCAATAATATCGCACATCTTATACTTTTATAAATTATATCACATAGGCTTTTATCAAGAATGAAGTTAACGCTTAAATAATTCCAAATAAAAATATCTACGCCATAAGTAAAAGAATTAGGAAACAAAAAATCTAAAAAAAGATTCTAAACACTTTGCAAGACAAAATAATTTTCTCATTATTTCCTATAATCTCTTCTAGCATTTAAAATAATCTCTTGAGCAAACAATACTTATTTTTCATGTGTAAATCTCACTCGGTCGTTCCCCATGTCGAATACAGTATAAAACCGAGTAAAAAATGGAATACCCAAAATCCATACATCCTCTAAATCATAATATTCCTTGAAATTTACAATAGGACTTGTACATGCGGTAAGGTTCGAATCATCGTTCTATAACAAATCGAACATGGCATGACATTTCATTTTAAAACGTTCATTTAAAAGTTTATAATCCTTGTCTATTCATTACCATCTTATATTGCGAAATCAAAAGCGAGAAAATATATTTAAAAAAGTATTGTAAATTACATTAAGATGTATTTTTTAATAAAACAATATTGCGTCCGACATATTTGTAAAATATATCCAAATCTCTCTATGTAAAATTAATAAGTAACTTTATAATTAAAACTGAATTACAACCAAAAAACGAAATTAACTATGTAATTTGCGAGAAAATCAGTATATTCTTTTCTATATCTGTTCAAATAAATGTAAAAATTATCTTGAAAAATTCATTTAATTTAAAATATTTTGCATGAATTTTCATGTGCTTTATCGCTTCTGAAATCATCAATCTGAAGATTCGTGGTAAGTGATCAGGAATTTTAACCTTTATTTAATGATATTTACCATTTTCGTATGAATGTAATCATTTGCAGTAAGTACGAATGGTTTACCACTCAGAACAAAAATAACATTGAGCAACTCAGAAATCTGATTGCATTTCCACCTTTAAACAAAGTTTAGAACCTACTAATAGTCCAGATAATAAAATCAACATCATAATATTAATAAACCACATTATTGACAACGGGAATAAATCAGACATTTATTAATTTATTCAGTAATTCATTCAGTAGCATTGAAAGAGAACTGCCATTGGAAAATTGTTAAATTTGATTTTTAAAAAAGCTTGAAATGTGTAATATTATAGTAATCTGGAAATTATTTTTATGTTACCAGAAGTTAAGTAACCAGAAATGAAATTATTTGAATTAAAGTTATTTTTCTTATATCGCGTTATATCAATCTCGCAGTCAACTTTAAAGTACATGTTTTAACTAATGTCATCTAGCTCATGTAAATAGATCTTTCTTAAAAACTCAACACTTTTGTTTAAAATTTATTCATAATCGATTAAAAAACAAATTATCTTGTCGCGGTTAAGAATTATAATCTGTATTTTTGTACAATAAGTTTTCTGTCATTCCCACTGTGCGATAAGACTTCAGGTGACAGTGATTAAGAAATTAGTTTTTAAATCCAAATCAATTAAGTGATTAATTAAAAGTACAATTGTGGATAAAAATTAATTAATGAAAGCAATTGTATTAAAAAATAATAAAAAAAAAAGGAATAATTCGAATACAAGTACGATGTGTATAGTTTAAACATGTAAAATAAGAATTTTTTAAAAATCACATCAATTACATATTTTATGTACTTTCAAATGTGGGATAATAAAGAGATAAATGAGAATGAAGTGTTCCCAGAAATACGGCCCTCTTACTATGGTAAATATATTTTCCTTATTCCTTTATTGCGGTTTAAACAACTTGCCCAAATATAATTTCTAATTTTTACAAAGTTACTTAAATGCATAAAATTATACTTTTAAAAAATATTATATTAAAATTATCATTTCCTAGAAACATAAGACGTAATTAATAACAATAAATATGGCTTAAAATAGTTTATTGCTTTAGAGTTTATAAATGCAGAGTTGGCGTAAAGAGAATACATACAACTTCTATATTTTATTAAAAAAAGGAAAGAAAAATAATGAAAAGTACAGACCAAATTATATTCATAATTCGTGTGACAATGCGATATTATGATGAAATAATGAGCTATAAA